TCTACAGATCTGTAGAATTCAAATAAAAAAAAATTCATTGATTTTGGTCAAGTGGTTGCCGAGATATCTTCGATCAAAGTTTTAAAAGTTTGTAAACAATACTGTGACAAAATCGAAGGGATCTTCGTGTAACCATGGTGCGAATAGCAGTTCCCTAATTTTATATCTACAATATAAACCTTTAAACTATAAAAATATTTGCTTGCTTATAATATAAGCAAGCAAATATTTTATAGTTTAAAGATTTATATTTGTAGATATAAAATTATTACAAAATATTTATACAAACCTAAAATGTCTCTAAGCCTTGTTTTGCTGTGGGGCTCCCCATATGCCATATTGATCTTAATAGACTTTTCAAGAAGGTCAGACGCCTATATCCGTGTAGTATCAATATTAGATATTTTATTTATTATGCTGTATCATTAATTCGATAGAATAATAAATAAGCTATATATATCTATAGAGTTTTTTTTTACATTGCTCAATAATTTTCAATTAGTTTCATCTATATTTGATCTACTATATTATCATTGTCAAGGGCTTGAACTAATTCAGTAATTGTTATAGAAAGTTACGCATTATCATGTTTTTTCAGCTTAATAGAACTTCATTGTACTTAAATTGATATTATGAATTAAAATAACAATAATCGAAGATGTATCACTTATCCAAAGCATTCTCCTTTTCTTAAGGTTAAAAATCAAAAAAAAAAGTATTCCAAAATTTTTGATATACAGTATGGCAAGATAGCTGCGCAACAAATGTTAATTATATTCATTATAAGTTAAAATTATAATAATTAGGAATCTTAAAATTCATATTTGCATTAATACGTAGCTGTCATCGTGATTACTGAATTAAGGCAATATAGCATATACCATAATAAATATCGTATAAATCTTGAACACAGTAAACTGTCGCACAAATATATTTATGTACTGTATATAGCTGTATTGTAGAGAATCTATGTAGCGTCATGACATAGCCTCTGTAGAATTTCATAATTAGTAACATTTTGACAATCATTAACGTAAAAAAAAAAACGTGTAAAATCACTATCACTATTATTGTACGTACATATTTTGCAGAATAAAGTACACAAAAAAAATATCACAATTAATGCACGTTACATTAGTATACAACGAACATCCAAGGAGATTTACACTATTTGGCACGAAAGGTACGTACGTACCTTATTCTACAAAATATGGTAACCTTTTAAATCGTTTAAATAACAATTTATTGTAATGCATAAAAGTATGGATGTTAATTACACGATCCAAATAATATGCATAAAAGGAGCCCATTAGGATTTATATATTATTATTTAACAAGATCCCGAAAGAATATATCATCACTTAATACCACATTCACATCCTCTTCATTACCATTAAACTTAATTTGTGTATAAACATTTTTACTCGAATCCATCAACACAATTGAAGACGACGCGAGATCGTACGCAATGTTCGAAAGCTCAGTACATGTTGGCGTTTGGACACCTTCCTTCCTACATAGTTTGGTATATTTACTGATTATCTAAAATAATAAAATTATTAGGTTCCACTAGTTAACAATTAGTGAACAATTAATACAATTAATTAATTAAAATAAATTCCATACATCTTTAAATTCAATCTCAGGATTTCCATCCCTCCGTAATAGCAATAAGGTACATAGAAACATTTTTGCGCGAAAAGAACATTTTCTGATGTATTTCGACCAAGGAGTATTCGTTTTTTTTATGGCTTCTTTAACTATGTCGATGGTAACTTTATTGTTTATTTTATCATTTGTCTTTGCTAAAGATTCAAGTATTCCTATAGCACGCCTTAAGGATAGTCACTTGTTAATAAACGCAAACAGGAGGGTGACATTCAGAAGATTGAATATAATATAATATATAATTAACCTGCAAATACATAAAGCATTCCTTGCATCTTGCGAGATAGAACTAACTTTCCTTGCCGCAAATTCAATAGCATTATTTTCAAACAATTCAATTCCTTCAAGCCGTGATTTCACTATAGTGAATAGCTCCGAGTGCGTATATGGCGCAAAAGTCATCCTATCCAAACCTTTATAAAAAGTGAGTATATGTTTATCTTTTAAGACAAAGTTACGATCAAAATTACACATACCTATTCGACTTTCACTTCTGGCTGACAACATTGTGACCGGCAAATCAATCCTATTAGTTAAAGCAATAACGATAAGATACGAATCTTGTAAGGTTGTCCACTCCAAGAAGTTATAAATCACTCTGTTCGTTTTAGTAACCATAACATCAAATTCGTCTATCAGTAACACGCTGTCAGTCATAAGGGACATTATTAGCGAA